AAAGAGGTTAAGCTATTTGAATGTGGTAAGGCACATGGCGTCTATCTACCTAAGGGGAGGGATACTTTCGTGAAGACCTTTCTTTTTGTTACATGTAGGAAATCCCTGAAAGCCACCAAGCAGTGAGCCCGTTCACCTAGTATGGATCCCAAGCCGAACTCCCAGTATTCAGCGATCTTAACTATATACTCGGCCCCTATATATACTCGGCTAGTTATATAGTAACTATATACTAGGACAGTAACTATATTCTCGGGCAGTATACTCGGCCGCTAGTGCAGCCTTCTTATAGGGAGTGATTTTCCATAAATTTCCAAATTTGAGCCTTATGAGCTACTAAGAGCTGAGATTCCGTGATTTTATGGTAATCGAAGATACGCAGTCTCATTTAAGAGCATTTCAAATATATTAAAAAGCTAGCAAATCTTGAGATGTTTCCTACATACTGTCAAGTCAATTACAATCAGTTCTGCCAGAATTGCATACAGTGCAGAAGGTACGTGCATGTTCATACGTATATAAAACTCTTTGCTCGAAGCAAAACAAATGTATAAAATATTTACCCGAAAACTTCAACATAAAAGAAAAAAATACACATATTTATACAAGACAATACAGATTTTAATTAAAATTCCTTTATATTAAACATACTAAAAAGTTCAATATTTTATTGGCACACTGTGTTACTTTTTTGCCGATGTTTGTGTCATATACTTTCTGAGGTTAAGTAATATCCATGCAACGTTCCGCAGATTTATGATTAATTAAAATTCACCGTAATATAAGCTCAGATTCTCAGGTTTCATTGTGCTATCTTTTATTATTTCTCAATATCCTAGAATTTCTCTTAATTTTATTTACACATAAGAAGTGCTTTTCTTAACTATATGAGCAATGTTTACATAGTTCTTTCCACAAAGCAAAATTTAAGTGTATTCTTTGGCGTCAGTAGAAAAATGCTCTTACATATTTTTAAAATGTTCAAAATATGCCTACGACTCGAAATCATGCTAAATTTAAATAAAAAATTATTAACATATTTATTACAAATTTAAGTACTAATCTTTTTGAAATTAGAGAAAGAAATTATTGCTCACTCAATACTCCAAACATTTACCTGAAATAGTGGCAATTATTTAATAAAAGTCGAAGAAATCATGAATTGAATTGAAGAAAAATTAAATAAAGATTGGAGAATAAGAGAAAGGTATTTACTTTGGCAAGTGTTTGCAATTTGATTTTAAGCACATTTCCCTTTCTTAAATATTTCATGTTTTCAAACCTAATTGGTGAATAAGTAATGTGCTGTTGGTTTGTAATTATTTCTACTGACTGATCTCATTTTCATATTGGAAAAACAAAAGTTTAAGCAATTTACAGTACATTTCATGTTGTATTTCAGAGATAAAAAATTATTGGCGTTTTTCTACCTGCCGTTATTTACATTCTTTATCACTGCAGATAGTGTTTTTAGGCATTTTAGGGAAATAGCTTCAAGCTGAGTGCACATTTCTTCAATTTATTTTATAATTATGCTTCGAGTTTACAGTTAACATGCTACACAAAATTTAATTAGCAAAAAATATCAGAAAAATGAATTACAGGAATTTATTATTCTGATTCGATTTCGTAATTAATAGTCCACAAAAAATTTGAGGAAAAGTTACATATACTATTTCCATGCCAAAATTTGTCTACTTACCATCCAAGCGCGGGAAGCGCAACCGTTATCTTTACTTTATCAAAGCTCTTAACACCCTTTTATTGAAGGTGATCAGAAATTATTCGGAAGAACTATTTTTTCCTACTTTTTGTTGTTGCTTATGCTCACTTGTCTGACGTAGTCAGCCCAAGCCCACGAAATTCCTCGTGGGAAGAAGTGCTACATTACGCCTGATGTTGGTAATAACCTTAAGTACCATTCAGGTGACAGTGCGATTCTGCCCCCAATTTTGATGGAGAGCATCCCGGGGGGATGGTTGCGAGGGCCTTCCACCCCTCTCGCCTTTGACCAAACCACATGAGAGGGGTTTCGGCTCAGGGTAAAAACATGCGAGTGCCGCCATGCCACAACGATGCTATACATTTACAAACATTCACGCCTTCTCCTGGATTTGAACCCAGGCCCTTCAGCAGGGCAATCAGCGACGCTAACCACTATACCGGTTGACCGGACTTTCCTACTTGGTATAGGACAATGGTCTTTAAACATTGTTCATTCGGTTACCCTTAAAACTCTTTTGTCGACTTTGGAAAACCGGTAACTGTAACTTTTTGTGGAATCCTTACTATTCTGAGGAACGTTAACGCAAAGAAGAGTCGAAAATAATCAGCGTTGGGTGTATTCTATATCACAAAGAAAAAGAAAAACATTATTTTATTAATAATTTATCGCGAAAAACTGTTCTGTTTTGTACTATTTTAGGTAATAATCAGAACAGAAATAAAACAATTATTAACAATTATTAATTACTTAATTATTTTAGATCTTTAGCTTTCCGATACAGTACTCAAAATATCTTCTCAATTTTGATTTTGACTTACGGAAGCTTTAGAGAAACTATAGGGAACTCCAGGTTTTCCTAAGAACTCAATTTCTTTTTAATGTTTTTTCATATGGTTAAAATATTTTAATGTGCCAAGAAGATAAAAAGATAGCGAAATCATGTTTGAATTGATATATACCATTTTGATTCTTATTAATCCAAATTATTTTAATGTACCAGGTATTTATGCAACCAAATCAACCCAGGTTAAATTTGCAATAGAAAGTATATAGGACTATATAGGACAGGTAAACAAAATAAGCCTATAATTTTCTAATATTCATTTTTAATATTTCCTTATGTTTACACATATATGGATATGCCAATCAATACAAAATATACCATAGTATAAAATCATACAATATAAAATTACTAAGAAAGATGTTAGGTCATAAATAAAGTTTTTCTAATGATGAATTTACATGTAATTTTGGAACAAAGCACATTTATAACAATCGGCATATTTAAAAATAGATTTACATATACATTTATAGCATTAAAATTTCGCCGCTCAACCGGTATAGTGGTTAGCGTCGTTGACTGGCGTGAGAAGGACCCGGCTCCGGCATGCGAAGGCATGGATGTTTGTAAATGCAAAGTGTCGGTGCGGCACGGCGACACTCTAAATATGTGGCGAGCCGAAAGTCCTCTCGTGTGGTTTGGTGGAAGCAGAGAGGGTGGGAGACCATCGGCCCCGCCCTCTTGGGATGCTTTACATCAAAATTGGGGGCGGAACTGAACTAAATCGCACTGTCACCTGTAAGGTGCTCAAGGCTGTTGCCAACGACTGGCGTACCTTGCGCTCCTCGCGTTGAGGTATCTCGTGGACTTAGACTGACTATAGGTCAGACAAGCGAGCATTAGTAACAACACCTTAAAATTCCAAGAACTCCAGTAACGCTGATGTTACGTCATTAGTACACTGCGCGTAGAACAACATCGCGTTCCGCAAAGTTAACTTTTTATGGAAAATCGTATTAGGTTATTACTCAGACTAAGAAAATATTTATAAATAAAAAAAAGACATATTGTTGTAATTAAAAAAGTACAAAACAAATGTTACTTCAAAGGATTTTCTTTCCTGATTATTAAGTACTTGGTAAGTTTTTTTTAAGTTGGTGGATTTTGCTTGGAACAATGACTGATGCAATATTCTGTATAAGTTTCGTGGTAAAGATCGTACGCCTTTTCAATGTCTCTCAGAAAATGTGCTCTTATTTTTTCATTTGGACCAATCTATATTGCAAAATAAGACAGTTCCTCTGCCTTTTTTAACAAATAGTTTAAAATATCTTCTAAGCCCATTTACCTTCTTAAACAAAATTGCTTTTGCTGTCATCATCCGATTTTTCAGTCGTCTTTCTTCGATCAATTTCTTGACTTCTAATTCTTCCATAGCTAAAAATTCTTCACAGAAAAATTGCTTTTGCAATCTGTAGGAATTCTTGAGTGTCATTTTAGATTGAAAAGTGTTAAACACTTCTTCGCCGAGACGATGGCAAGTAATTTGGATACCAGCTCATTTACTGTTCCCGAATGAAAATAAAATCTCGTATGAATGAAATTCTAACGTTGGAAAATTAAATAGAAAAAATTAAAATACCGTGTACATGTGAAATAGTGTTCCTCAAATCCGTACTTGGCAAGTGTTTACTGCATAAAACAGTCTAGAAAGACCCTTTTGGGATACATTCGCAGCACAGTAAAGGTACTCGATGAATACTGTCCTTTCTTGTAATCGTATATTCACCTTCTCCGTCCCTCTAAGTATCGGATTGGAATAGCGCGTTTCAGTTGAAAGCTGATCCTTGCAAATTAAACTCAGTTCGTATCAGTATTTCTCATTTCTCTTGTTCTCCGTACTCGATTTGGTTCCGTCGATTTTTCCTTGTTGTGTCTTTTACTTATCGCATTAAGGCTGCTTAACAATCAGTCTCGCACTCAGTCCTCCAGTTCTTTCTATTTCCTCTTTCTTCTCCCTTTCCGACAGTATTTTCACTAAATTATTAATTAAAACTGACTTCTTGGGCTAAACTTATCGATAAGCAAACACGGCTCTGATGCTTACATGATCTTACTCTGGCTGAAGAGTATATATCACACCACCTTTTTCCAAATCAATTATAAGAGCAACCGATTTATTATTACTCACTGCCCTTTCGCTTTTGCCTCGATAAGGAGAACCTAAAGTCCTTTTTTAAGCTCTCCTTTACGCAGCTGGAGTACAGGAGATTAATCGAAACGACTCTTAAGAATAATAAGAGCCGTTAAGGCCTAGTCTATCTATATTTTATACCTTCAACAGTTCAAAGGAGGTATATAAAAGTGGCGCGGAGTAAGAGATTTTTTTGCATCTGAATAATTATCTGAATAATTACTCTTTTAAAATTTTAGAAATTTTTTATTTCATAAATTTCTTTTACAGACGAAATCTAATTATAAAAAGGAACCTACCACACCAGATCCAATCTGTTGTAGAATACTGGAGGCTTGATTGGGAGCTCCTCCGGGTACTTGTCCCGCAGTACGTTGCAAATCTGTAGCACAAACCGCTGCTGCTGAATAACGTCGCATTCCAGGCCTTGTAGGAGTGAAAAACTCTATATTGAAGTTAGGAGTTACCTGAAGAAACACAAAGCATATATTATCCGCACAGTGCAATAATTTTAAACCATTAATATAATGAACACATGCTGTCAGATATTTGAAATCTGAGCAAAGAATAGCGATAAAATTTTGTTGTTAAGCGAGAAAAGTAGCAACCGAAACATACACTTGAGATGCTGTGTAAAGGGCACGGTTTCAAGCAGTAGCATGGTCCATTGTTTTGTTCCCTTGGTACGGGATTGAAGCTGCTGATGATGAATCCAAGAACGACTGTCATTGGCAGTCTCGAATGAATATTGAAAAAGTTCGACAATATTGTTGAAAAATCGTTATGTGTCTTTTCAAATGACAGCTCGTCAACAAAAACACTGTTAAAAGCATGAACATGAAATAAGACAATAAGACTGGTGTTTATATATCATGATTTGTACAAAATGTATGCATTAATCCTAATTTCTTACAAAAAAGTGTGACGAGAAATGAAATCTGCTGCAGATAAAATGACAATCGTCTGCTGAGGTCGGAGGAGGTTCATTTTGGCCGCAGAGATTTCGGTTTCAAAGATCTTGATTAAAGAACATGTTGATGACTGGGTTTCGAATGGAAAGGAAAGCAATCACAAGATTTTGTTACCGAGGGACTGACGGGGAATTCGATATTTTATAAGATATAAAGAACAGGTTTATGAACACAATTCAGGGCTTGAGGCCTAAAAACCTCAATCGAATAACAGGTTTCTGCCGCATAGCAGTACGATGTCACACAGTTCCATTATCGTCTAGCAGTTTCTAGCAAATCAAAGTGTCACAATTCCACCCCCAAGCTCACTAAAATTTACTTCTTCAGCCTACATCTTCTACCCGCAAGTGAAATTCCACTTAATATTGATGTCACTGTGATGCTGTTCCGAAGGGCCCTTCAAATTCCGGAGAAGGGATGGATGTTTACAAATGTAGAGTGTATGTGCGGCATGGGGTTAATTTAAATATGCGGTGAGCTGAAAGTCCTCTTAAGAAGTTGATGGTTGAAGAAGAGGGGTGGAAGACCCTCGGACCCGAGACAACGACAGGCGCAATATTGCTCTTCTTGCTGCGATTAATATCGTGGGCTTGTTCTGATGTTACTGTCAGACAAATGAGATTAAGTCACTAGAACAACAACACAGTTTAATTGTTTTCTCTTACATATTGGTTATACACAAAGAAATATTTCACCTACACTTAAAATATGCATAATTAAAAACGAAATGGACAATTTATATGAAAACGTTAAGGTACTAATAATAGAAAGGCATGAACATCCGTGACAGTAAATGCCAACATTATTTTTAGTGCACTCCTTTTTAAATGTGACTTATATTTGAAATCATTTAAAAGGAGTGTTTTTATCACTTTTTGTGAAAAAAAATGTGATAAAAAGGTGACATTTCAGCAGAAATTAAAATCATTTGTGATGCAGTAGCATGTGAGACAATGCTGTCGCCGATGATGTCGAAAGAACTATTGTCGAAAAACAAAATAAAAAATTTTGGGAATCTATCGTTTGTATTATAACGTTGCGCGCCTCTAACTAGCACGCAACCTAGAGGTGACTGTGAAAGCTTGTATCAACCACAGAGTCTTATAAAGGGTTTAAGTCCCTTTTTATTCAACGTACTAAATTACAATTGCGTCCTCTTGACGCTTACAAACTGTGCCAACTAGGCAGTCAAATAAAAATAAAAACCTGAAAAGAAAGTAAAGACAATATTCTAACTACGAGGCTCTCTAAAATAACTAACTCACCGCGTTTTACAAAATACCGCCGCTAATTCAGCAGACTTGAAGCTCACTGGAACAATTGCAACTACTTCCCGCCAAGCACATAGGCCACAACGCGGGGTTCTTTAATTCTCGATTTCTACCTCCGCGCTCGCGAAGTAAGAATAACTCTCTCACCGAACTCGTTTCCTTCTATTTAAATCATACTACTTCCGCTGATAATTTGAATGCTTGCGCGTTCTACTCAAATTTACATATTCTGGCATTGGCAGTTCCAGGGGAAAGTAAGGCTTGACAGGAAAGATAGTTTAAACTTAAAATAAATGTTAGTTAAAATAAATATAAACCCTACATTTGCCGCTGCCAGAATTTGGAAAACTTGGAAGCAGGTCCTACAAACGACCTGTTGTAAGTTTATCTAATTCTGAACTAACTGGCGAAAGCCTCGTTTACACAAAAAAATCTTATGTAACAATTAAAATTCTGTTATCGTTTACAAAGCTTTCTTCTTACAGCAACTTTTCCTGGACTTCATCAATCAATCTTGGTCCTTCCTTCCAGCATCTGGAAGGAATAAGTATCAGTATCTTTCTACATACATTATAATTTACACTTTCTTGACACAATAAATTTTTGTTTTTTAACGATTCGTTTTTCTTAGTTATTGCTTACTTCACATTCATTCAATTTTTCAAGCATTAATTTAACTTTACCCTGGCTCTCCACCATGTGTGGTGTCAAACGGGAATATTCGTGTTTTAGTCTTACAACACTTCCCCTAACCACCATGATTTGTTAGAATTCAACGACCAAATAGACACACCTTACTCGACATTCTACAACTCAATGAGCTACTTTAATATTCTTAAAAATTCAAATGTAGGTGGAGAACCCTACAAAACACATTCATTCTAACTTCCCCCTCATTCATCTTTAAACATGCAGGCTTTCGCTCTAAAGCATGACTTTACAGTTTAATACTTAAATTTTGACTTCATTGCTTTTAAGCATTCACTTTTTAGCATCTACAATTTTATGCTTCTAGACTAAATTCTACTTTTACATAACATTCAAGTATTTACATACATTTACAAAAGTTTAATACATATGCTTTTTACAATTTACCATAAAATGAATAAGAGAAAATAAATTTTTACTTTACTCATTCTTCGCCAAGCTGGCGGCACTGAAACTAAAATTCTTATTAATACAAGAATACGAAGTTATTTTTATCTTCGGCCAAATTTTGGCTTTAACATAACAGAATTAGTCTTTCGACCAACAGAAAATGCTTGTTTTTAGCTTTTACACTTAAAGAAAATAATACTTTTGCCTTAGCTAAATAAAGTAAAACAAAACTAAGTCTCAACCGAGACATATTGACTTTCGTCAAAACATAGAACTTCGTACTTATGCATAACATTTCGGAACAAAGAGAAAAAAAAATTATAGAAGGTTTTAACTTATCTTTGAGTTTTCGATGCTTGAAACTCCGTCATCCGTTTTTGGCAAAATTGATCCCAAGTTAGAGGTTGTCATGGATGTCAATCTTCTCCTTGTTGATCTCCGAGTGTCGTCCCCGTTGATCTTTTTCTTTTGCGTCCTCTACATGCTGGCCTCTTGGACGGAGTAATCGTCTGGTTGTTTGTCCTTTTGCGTTTTCTGCCTGGGACGGCTGGTCTTGACGTCCTCCGGTCTGGAGTCCTTCTTGAATTTCTTCTTTTCTGTTCCTCGTACTTCTGTGCCTCCTGTTGGCGTTTCAGTTTCCGGAACGGCGGCCTTGCTGGCACCTGACTCTGTGGCCGTGTGCGCGTTCTCCTTGATGTGTAATTTCTCCTGCCATCCTTTGTAGGTGGTGTTTTCTCTTTACCACGGTTTCTTTACCCGGTTCATCTGTATTTTTGTTTTTTCTTAAACGCCGGAGTTTGAAAATCCTTTTTTTCTTTTTGATACCGACGTCCGGGTTGTAGAAGTGCTAGGTCTCTCTTCAGTTCTCTGTTTCTTGGGTGGTGGAATAGTTGTTGCAGTCTCTGGCCCTTCTATTTCGTTTAGACTTGAGTCCTGCAAGAAACTTTTAAGGATTTCAAAATCATTTGGATTATAGTATTTTTTCACCTGGTCGGGACTTGCTTTACAGATTTCCCCTCTCTCGTTTTTAAGATATAACGACTACTCCTTTGATTTCCTGAATTACATAGGGGCCTTCAAACTTTGGAGCTAGCTTTGCCAGTAAAATTGTCTGGGGCACTTGATAAAGAAAATTTCCGCTTCAATACTTTATCCCCAACTTTAAAATCTGCTTCACGGCGTTTTCTATCGTAATATAACTTTTTGTCTATTTCTTGCCGTATCCGAGTTTTTAAGCGCCTGATCAATTAGTTTTTGCACATCCTTTTGTTTAAATTCCTGCTCTCTTTGTTGCACAAAGAATAATTTATCTAAAGGCGTAATTAACTTTCTGCCTAAAAATAATTCTGCTGGAGTTTTTCCCGTAGTATCATGATTGTGCCGTTCTTAAAGCATAAGCTAATTCATTTATGTAGCCATCCCAGCGCTTGTGATGTGTGCTAACGTAACTGCGAATTATTTTTACAATGTTTTTATTAACTCTTTCTGCTATGTTAGCCTGTGGTCTATACGGAACCATTTTGATATGGCGTATGCCAAGTCCATTGCATATGTTTTCAAATATTTGACTAATGAATTGTTTTCCGTTATCGCTAATGACTTTTATCGGTGCACCGTATTTTAAAATGTATCTGTGTAAGAATGCATCTGCGACTGTTTTGGCTGACGCGCGTTTAAGTGGAACAATTTCTATCCATTTTGAAAAATGATCTACTATTACTAAAAGAAAACGATTTTTATTTAACTCGCTCTGGGGGAAGGGACCAAGGAAGATCTATGCCTAAAATTTCATTCGGAAATGTAGCGCGAATGCTATTTAAGTACCCGGCCGGGCTGTAATTAATATCATTTATTAACTGACATTGATTGCAGGACCTGACATACGCCGTTACTATTTTGTATAATTGCGGGAAATATACCGCCTCGCGTACCCTTTTTAAAGTCTTTCTGACCCCTAAATGGCCCGCTGTTTTTTTTCGTGCAACTCCTTCAAAATGCTTAATCGAAGCGAGGCTGGGATGACTGGTTTATACTCAAGATTTTCGTTTGTTGTTTTCGTATAAAATAATAAATTATCTATTATTTCATAGTTTTTTGCTCTATTTCTTATCGCATCGATATCTGTGT